AGTAGCCGGAATTACAGGCATGCGCTACCACGCCTGGCTGATTTTTTGATTTATTGTAGAGATGAGGTTTCGCTGCCAAGGTGGGTCTCAAACCCGCGGGCTCAGGCAGTCCACTCACCTCAGCCTCCTAAAGGCGTGGGATTACAGGCTGAGCCACCGAGCCCGGCTAAGCGCTTTTTTATTCAGGAACTTCTAGTCTTCCTTAGCAAATAGGTCTGAGGTAAAGAACATTCATACGTCTCCTTCCCCAAAAGATTTACATCAAGGGTTAAGATTAGTTGTACTAATAGGAAAATCTAGGATTTGGCAGCGGATTTCTCTGGACAGAAATGCTACCATATTGTTTGCTATTTATTTTTAAAGTCATGAAGAGGGCTGGGCACCGTGGCTTATGCCTGTATTCCCAACACTTCGGGTGGCAGAGACGGGAGGATTGCTTGAGTCTAGGAGTTCAAGACCAGCCTGGGCAACATAGCAAGATCTTGTCTCTATTTAAAAGAAAAAAAAAATCATGAACAGTGTCCAGGAAAAAAATATTGACAGGCTATCACTTGATGGGTGGCAGAATTCATATATGTAATCTCTCTGTGAGCATCTCACGCTGGGAGTTTATCTGAGAGCTATCCCATTCCCAGTTCTAGGTTATTGTCTCGGATTGCTGTCAGTTCTTTGAAAATGTATTCTTTACTTACTGCCAGTGCGTTTATTTGGAATTTTACAGGCTTAGAATTTATTTATTGAAAATAAGCTGTGAAGCCTTCAAGAACCCCTTTTATTATGTATATAAATGTAGAAGTAAGCCTTTAGGGATAGTAGGTTAAAACTGTAGACTCTTGGGAAGATATTACCTAATTCATGTTGGACAGAGCTATTGTAAGAATGAAATAAGTCATGTTACCCTTCTATTACTGTTTTTTTCCTACATGCATTCAGAAAGGAAGTTTCTCAACATAACTCCTAAAAATAGATCATGCTACCAGGCACACACCCTTGCTGTGTCCTAAAATACATGGATTTCTTCTATTCCATTTTTGGTTTGGAGCAAGTGAGTTGACTGCTATGCTTTGAAAAAGCCTTCATTGAGTAGCTTAATACAGTGCTTAATTGTGGTACATTCCAGTAATAGTGCCATCAACGTTGGGATTCTGGCTCCGAAAAGGCAGTGAACCTATCATGGCTATTTCAAAATCTTCTATATGTTTTCATTTACCAACATTAAAAGGCATTATTTGAATACGTTGATTGATGTTTGAGGAATTGTATATGTTTAAGTGTAAATATGGAAATACGTGTGAGTGTATGTGTTAAGTGTTTATGTTTATGTATATGTAGAGTACCCATAATATGTATGTGTGCTTCACATATGAAAAGTGGCACATCGGAAGTAGGTGTTCAGGGACTCATATTTAGAAAATATCGAAGATATATGTTTATTTCCTGGGGCTTTGTATAAAATCAACAGTGGAAAGCACTTAGATTTGAAGCTTATATTTTTTTGGTTTTCTTCTGAAATCTTAGGCCTCCATGACCTTTGTACTCCAAATAGTACATGATAATGAGTCCCCTCCACACCTAGCCCTGATCAGCAGCTTCCCTTTCACAGAGATAACTGATTTTAGGCCTTTATCCTTCCAGATCTTTTCTGTGAGTTCGTACACTTACAGTTTTGAACAAAATTTTATGGAGAAGACAACCCAAGGCTCAAAGATAAACAAACCAAAAAATCCCAGTATATACTAAAGTTATCACAGAGGAATAAAACTGACTGACTGTAATGAGTAACTTTCATAATATATTCTTAATTTTAAAACATTAAATGTGACTCTTTTTAGAAATCTGTGGGAGAGAAAATGCCTGTAGTACTTATTTTCCTGCTTTTCTTGATAATTGCCTAATTTCTTGGAGAAAAGTACTGATTCGAGAACAAATCAGTAGAGAACAATAGCACTCCCCTGAGAGCTTTTTAGAAGCTCACTCTGTGCTTTGAAAAAATGATTGTTGCATGATTATTTGTCCATAAGAACAAGCCCTTTCTAGTTATGGCCCTGTATGACATGTTCTCTTTGAATCCCCTTCGGTGTTAATGACTATGCTGGTGGCATTCATGTGCTTCTGTGTGGCTTTGAACAGCCTCCCATGATTTGCCTGCCAGTACAGCCTTAATGCTTTAGTGGGAGTCATTTCCAGACCAAATTTTCTGTTCATGCTGCAGTTGTATTGAAGAACTTTTAGACAAAAAAGTGCTCAGACTTCAGAAAGAATTTAGATTGACATCAACTGCTATTTGAACGAAAGCTTGAGATAAATTTAAGTGAAAGTATTAAAATGGGGAGTGTAGGTAAAGATGCCATGGTATGTAATCACATGGGGAGCATCCATGGCATAAATAGAAAGTGTCAGGAGTAAAGACCTGGCTCTGTGTGGAGAGAACCTTGTCATTGATTCCATTGTGACCTTGGGCAAGCTGCCTCATCTTCCATGGGGTCAGTTACCTCAGACTTAAATTCAGGAAAAAGGAAGGGAAAATAAGCCAGCATTTCCTTAGTGCCCTCTATGTGCTAGACTCTGTTCAGGGTACTTTTTACTACTATTTTCTTTTTTTTTTGAGTTGGAGTCTCACTCTGTCGCCCAGACTGGAGTGCAGTGGCCACTCCCGTCCACTGCAGCCTCCACCTGCTAGGCTCCGGCGATCCTTCTGCCTCACCCTTCCAAGTTGCTGGAGCTACAGGCATGCGCCACCACGCTTGGCTGATTTTTTGATTTATTGTAGAGACGAGGGCTCGCCAAGTTGCCCTGGCGGGTGTCGAACCTGTGGGCTCAGGCAATCCACTCACCTCAGCCTCCCAAAGGCGCAGGATTTACAGGCTGAGCCACCGAGGCTTGCTTGCTACTATTTTCAAACTATACTTAGACATGTCATGTAGTAGAATTTCTTGTTTTATCACACTGGTGTTATAGAGCCTTTCTGACTGACAGGTTCGTTGCAATGATGAAGGTCTGTATTTGAAGATTTCTATTATCTTCATTATTCCCAGAAGTTCCTGAATCAGATTAGTAATCTTTAGAGCACAGTAAGATCTTAGTTGAGCCTTTCAGGGCCACAGATAAGCTTGAGAGGTAGACGGGGGAAGAGAAAGAAGAAACTATACTAATATTAATAGTAATGAGAGAGAGAGAGAGGGAGACAGGCAGACAGACGCATAGACAGAAAGACACACTGAGACTGGACCTGGATATAGCTGAGTGTGGCTATATGTTGTCACATACCTGTTAGAATAAACTTTTCTGGTTTTGAAAAATGGGGCTAGAAGTAATAATTTTAAGAAACTAGCTTTTTTTGGTAAAGGCAGTTATATCTGCTACATTACCAATGAATAATATCTGTTCTCCATGATCTTCTCTGCAAGAATAAATTTGAGAAGACCATTTTTAGAAAGTCTGGGAAATGTATGTTTCCATTCTCCTATTCCCACCATAAACACTGAAACTGTCTTCGTCCTTCGCATTGTCACTGATGATTTCCTTCTGCTTCAAATGTAAACATACAGTTTGTAAGTATTATGCAAATCAGACCTGTTACCATGTACCAGCATAAAGTTTTGGAATATTACTGTGACAGCTTAACAGTTTTATAGTGAAAGTATGAAACTGATAGT